TGAACAAAATTGATATGGGTTGTGATTTTCCTAATTTAACCTCCATTATTGCTGTATAAAAAAATATCAGGAACACATCTATGCAAGATTTTTTTATTTGATAATCATTAGAAAGTTTTGATGGATGGCACATGTACAGCAATACAAACTATTTTGAAATTTAATTTTATAATAATTTTGTAGATATACTATAGTAAAGATCATTCATAATCATTTCTTTATCAGTTTAATTTAAACGAGGTTAACCTAATTTCTGTTTTCAATATATTTATGTTAGTAAATGAACAAAGTGAAGTGGGGGTCTTTTTTCAGATAGGACAGTTTATTTTAACATTAATAAGAAAATCCTGGGTACAAAAGAAGAGAATTAAGTACCCATTCATCTTAACATAAATTAATTTACAGGTTCAAAGAAGGTGAAAATCTACTTTGTCAACAGATATTATAGCATTCCATGGTCCCCTAACTCTGACATTTTATTGGATATAGCTAAAGTATAGATAACCTGACTTGTTCAACACCTAATATTTCAAAGTTCAATATTATTAATGTGTATTGGTTTATCCTATTAAAACATGAACACTTTCGGTATAATATATCTTATGGCTTTGTTTCCATTTAAAATTTTTCTTTTAATTTGCCTTCCATATGATATGAATATGTTGATTGGTAAAAAGGCTCAGGTGCTTCACAGTATAGATTGATCACAAAGTGTGTTGGATTTCTGTTTGTCTGGGTCAGCTATTTCATAATTTCATCCAACTATTTTGTGGAGTTATAAAAATTTTGAAAAAATTTATAAAAATAAGCAGATGTGGTATGATTGCCAGTGAGACAGCTATCCACCATAACCCAGCAGAATAGGATCTTAACAAATATAGGGCACTGTACAGCCTTCAATGAAAAAACCCATACTGTAAAGTAAGCTATAAAAGGCTACGACATGACAAAATATGAAACAAATCAAAAGAAAAAAACCAACAGCCTAATTAATAATTAAGCAACACATGAAAAACAAATAGGCAGACAGCATCCATTGACAACCAATGAATTACGGGCTCATGACTTTGGACAGGCATATAACAAATGACATAAAGAGTGTGATGGGGTTAAGGATGTTCGCTACTCTGTTTCGAAAAACAAGCCTTTTAAAAGAGCATTATAAATTGAAAGTATAGAATAAAGGAACTGAAAAAGCAGAAAAAAATGAAGGGTCCGTGTGCTTGTTTTCAAGATATATGCCATTGAAAATATGACAGGAAGTGATTCTCTCTAGATTTTTCATACATTTAACATTTGCACCTTTTTTCTTTCAAAAACTATGAAAAAATTACAAGGATTTTATAAGATTTTCAAATATGGCTTTTTAAACTATATGTAATAAAAATATGAAAAGAAAAGTAGGGGTTTGCGTGCAAAATGTTTGAATGGCACTACATGGATAAAACCAGAGGATTCAGAATATCTGGCAAAAATTCAAAAAACAAGAGGAGTGAACATCCTTAAACATGTAAAATATGTAGTTATAGATTGCTGCACATGATGACATCTATCCATTCATCAATCCATTGACCATTCACATCTTCTATCTGATATGAGCTTCAGTTCTTCATAAACTTGTGAATGGATTTCATTAAAACTTAATCTTGGGAACATAAGTTATATACTTGTTTACTGTGCATGCTTTCTGCATGTAAAATAAACCTTGCAATAATTTATGAAGGGTTCTTGATGACCTCTTACAGGACATATTTTTTCCCCTTCCTAGCATACCCTGTTTTTTCTAGTGGCAGTCAAAATTTCCTGCATTTCATCACAGTAAACCACCTTTCCAAAATTTTACCAAATAATTTGTTCAATATGATATTTAGTTATTTTTTGTAGTGCTTGCAGATAATATACTAAGCAGATTTGTATAGGTGGTTTGGGTTGATCAAAATTTGATAGAATTGGGGCCCATAAATTTCTTGAAAATTGTATATGTCTGCATTTTTTATTTTTTCATTTCTGCAGAGTTTGCCCTGTTTTTTTGCATATGGCTGCTTAAGGATGAGTTTACGATGGAATTTTGGTTTTGATGTCAGATTTTTGGAAGTCTCTGATAAATTATTTGTTTACAATTTGTCTATAGGCTCTGGGAGTTTTCAAGCTTTCCATATAGTATATAGACACTTGTCTAAACTATTGTTGAAGACCTTATGTTAATCTCTAGGTGCCTTTTTTTAAAAATTTTATTGTGTTTTTAGGTTGATGTCCCATTACCCTGTAATCCACATAGCCTTTCATTCATATTCATGATATTTGCACTTTTATGCTACTGTATATTGTTCCAAATTTGATATGTTCAAGATATCCATTAAACACATTCATTTTAAGTTTCAGATAAAGCTACCAAAGTTAAATTATGTTTTCAAATAAAGAAGATTAGAATCTGGGACGAAATTGCACAGTTTCCATATCTAAAAACAAACTAATATAATACTTGTTTGTAAACAATGCTCTACTTAAGAGTTGTTTCTGAAAGGTAAAAAGTCTTCTAAATAAAGAGGATTTCAAAAGAACTTTAACACTTATTCAAATGGAAAATACATGTTTTATTAAGGAATTTTATTTGATTACTTATAGTAGTCTTACAGATAATTCAAATCTAAAACTTGACCATGTTTAAAAATCTCTAATACTTTTGCACTATTAAAATTTCATGAGGAACGGGAAATAACTCTGAAATTTATTAACTTTTATTTGGTTCACTTGATTTTGAATATGTAATAGAGATTTATTTAATTGATTATTTATTTGATTTGTTTATTCAGTGAGATAACTTTGTGACCCTGTCAATTTCTGTTGGATATAAATTGCTGGAGCTTGAGACCTACAAATCTGAAATGGATTAAAATGGGGATTGGTTGTATGTAAAAATGAAGAGTAATTGATTTTTGAAAAAATTGTGGGATTTTGAAAGAGGGCATTTAGTGATAGATCATGAATTTTTTAGCTCTTATCTTAATCCTTGATCAAGAGTTTTCAGCATGACTTTGGGTTTTAAACCATTTACAATATCAGCTTTAATGATATCAAAAGTATTTGGGATGTGCTAAGCAATTTTTTACTGGCCATATGCAGTTTATATGAAAAAATAGTCGTTATTGAAAAATAGTTATTACAATTCTTCTTCCCTCCTTATGGATAAAAACATATTGCCATCAAAGGCATTCTTTTCTCATGAATGTTTGTCGTTTTGGAAGTGGTTGAGGTCTGTGTTTTAAGTGATTTTTCACAAATGTTGGCATGTCAATGATATTACACCACTATGTATTTCCTATATATATTACATTATATTTATTTGAAAAAATGGTCACTATCTATGTTAGACACTTAGACATTTATGTCTGAAATGCATCATTTGCTTTTTTGTTTTGTCAAGTGCATGTAGGGATTTTGTGTGATAAAATGTCTCTTATTTATTTTTAACACAAAAAGTAAGAAAAAAGCATTTTTACAAGCAGCAGTTCTTTCATAAGTCACTGCAAAACTTTTGGTCATGATTTTCATTCATTTTCCAATATTTTTGGCATCCTGCAAGTAAATTTTTTGCATCTAGTAAAAATTAAGCAATATAGATAATATAGTCAGGATTTTTTTAATTGAACTTTCTTCCAGTTATTTAGTCAACAAAATTGCAAACAAAAAATTTGTCAATGCTAAAAAGTTCTAAACTTGCAAGTCACCTTATCACATCTGGTAAATGTTTTTCCATTTCAATTTTATCACCTATTTTAAATCCTGATACAAGCTGATGTTAAATATTGAAAGAAGTCAGTTATAGCTGTTTTATTTTATAAGGTTGATTTATATATGTCCAATAAAAGGAAACTTATATTGGGGAGATCTTTAAAGAGTTTTTGTATGGTTGTGCATATTTATTATACAGTTTTATTCATGTTTTAACATAGTAAATCATTTTTTGGAACTTTTCCATATAATCTTACAAATATCAAAATAGATTAAATCTTACAAAAATCAAATAGATAATATGTTAATCTTTGTCACACATGTGTTATAAATATATAGTAGTATTAAAGAAGGACAATACTAAGGTTTGACATTACCTAAAAATGTTGAAAAATCAAGAGACTTATTGAAGTTAAAGAGCAAAGGCATTGATTAACAAACATTTGAACACAATTCCAAACATAAGAAAAAGTTATGGTTGTCTTAAACTTGTAAAACACTTTATTTCAATGTTTAAGCCAGTCCAGCAACTGTTATTATGAAGAACAGCAATTTGAACCATTTGCCTTTGATATTTTGGTTAATTCCTAGTACCTAGTATATCGCAAGATTTGTCTCTCATGACCCCCCCCCCCCCCCCCCTTTTTCCATTCTTTTTAAAAACTAAAATGGACATAGCAGAAATAACGACAATTTCAAATGTACATGTCATTACACTCACAAATGATACAGTTAGACAGCAACCCACAAAACAACCTCTGATTTATAGGCTCCTGTCTAAGGACAGACACAGAAATTAAGAGTGTGGCTGGAATAAACATGTTTGTGAGAGCTCAACCATCCCCTGAACATAGGACAGCTTTGTTCTTTGACTACCCTTTATGCTTATTCATCAAAATGTAGTAAAATTATTTGTTGATATTTTTTTTCTTCAAAAAAAGTTATTTTAAGTGTCTTACTGAGAAGTCAGTTTTCTGTGCAAGAATGGAAAGGGTTAGAAAAAGATTTTTTTATTTATGGACGCTCAAATTCTTATTAAATTTTTTGTGGCGTTCAAACAAAACAAAACAAAACATATTCGACTTCACATGTGTAAAAGATTTAAATTTAAACAAGATTCCAATTAAAATTAAGTTGATTCATCATGAGTATCTATACCTATCACTTAAATCAGAGCAAGTATACATAAGTACACAAATTAATTTTCTTAAGTTCTACTTTTAAAAGCGGTATTGTATGTTTAATTTTACGTCTTTGATTATTTTCAGGTATAAATTGCAGTACTAATGGGACCAAGCTATTGAACAGGAGACTTGAGTAAACAGTTCTATCAATATTAACACAAATGATATTTAAAGTACCAACGTCAGTCGTACCACGGCAAAATAAATCAGTAGTAGAATTAATAGAAATATAAAAGTTGACATTAATGATATGATATAGTTGACATGAAAAGAAAGATTATCTCATTATACAAAATAGGGGTGCCATACCATGTCTGAAACTATCAATTGGACTATAGAAATACCCGTGTTTACCTTGGCAGTCATTGGATTGGTAGTTAACCTGACTTCACTCTTTTACAAATTGGTTCGGTCCTTTTTATTACCCAAGTTGTGGAAGTATTCATTAGTTTCTCTTGATGCGGCTCATATTTTTTTAGGCGTAGGATTAGTTTTACATTTAATTTATAAAATAACAAATATAGAAAGTATTTGTAAATCAATATCATTTTTCTTACAGTTTGGATTGTTCGATTGTGTTAGTGGGTATTTAATTGCTGGAGTTATTTTATTAGGTATATACAATCCAGGAAAGTCATCTAACTTAACATCCTTTCATCGAAATGTCTTTCTTGTTATATTTATACCACAGAAAGTTACATCAATTATTTTGTCATTACTACCACTTACCCCAGTGTCATTCTTTAATTTTACCTCGGTGAATGCGATATCTTGTTTGAACATTGAGCAAAAAGGAGAAAATGCTTTTTCCTATGGACTTTTATTAGTGTGTATTTGTTGGATTGTAATTTTTGTGGCACTTATTTGTTGTATTGTGAGTGCTGTAAAATTGTGGAAAGGATTTAGTAACAGAATTCACTCTGCCTCGCCTAATGTTTGGCAAGCACAGCTCGTCAGCCAAGGAAGACAAATTCAGAAAATTTTAATTATTGAAATATTAGTTTGGATTATTACTTTATTAGTCTTAACGGTAATTAATTATAAGAATACTAGCAAGTCATTGAGTGCAAGTGCGGTAGCATTGATATTATTGGACATAGCTACGATATTTCATGGAGTTCTGACAAACATTGGAAACAGTATGTGGAGTATTTGTTGTTGTACTTCGTCACAGACAATAGAAGAAACTCATCGTAAACTTAAACAGCTTGAACTCGTCAGACTTGAGGTTAGTATACATGTTAATTAACTCAAACTCATAAAGACATGACAAGTATATTATGAAAACATGACAAGTATATTATAAAGACATGACAAGTATATTATAAAGACATGACAAGTATATTATAAAAACATGACAAGTATATTATATAAACTCATGTATATATAATATATATATATACAAGTCTAAATTGAAAACAACATTCAAACCTATGATTGCGTTGGATAAAAACCGCAATTTTTATACGTGTGCATGCAAAGCAAATTTCTTGGTAGAGGGGTCTAAATACAACCAAACAACATTCTCCAAAAGACCAAAAAAGTGAAAAAGTATATTTTGACAAAATGCATTTGACTAGCAGGTCGAACAACGGATGTTCTTAAACCCTGCTGACTACCACGGCGATTGCCAAATAAACGGATCACCAGATGTAACAAAATGGATCTTAATTATTAATTAAATATATATAAATATGAAACAAATATATGCCATACAACATGCAAAGACATAAAACTTAGAATTTTAGAAAAGTTATTTGCTACTCAACTTTCTTTATGTGTACATATTTCCAACAAATCCAGTTTAAAATAAAAACCATTCGTGATTGAATTGTACAATTTTCTTTAATCAGGAAAGAGAAGGGCATTGGATGAAAGTCTTATGAATTTGTTTTATTGTCCTTAACTCATCTATGCTAACCAAATCTATTATGAAGATTTCAGTTAGTACTTTATTTAAACTCAATATCTCATTGAAGAACAGTTCTCACTTAAAAGAAGGGAGGTCAGCAATAATCAGCATGTATAAATTCATATGTTGTCACTATCAAAGTTTTCCATCAAAAACTTAGTCAAATGAAACTTGGAAAAGTCGTCTGCTGTCACAAAGTTTCTGGTGATTGGTTAAAGAAATTGGAGGGAATTCTGAGTAAAGTGGCTACAATTAATATATCAAAGAATGACCACATAGCTATTTTACTGTAGCTTCTGTGTGTTCTATTTTTGAGGACAAAACATGCATGGAAAAGATACAATCCAAGATAATCTGATAGAGATAATTTATAACTTGATAATAATTTAGATTTAAATAGTACCATTATTAAACAAAGTACATATTTTAAATCATTTGATTAGATAGACATCTAGTTTTCTAGCAGTATCTTATAGTTTGGTAGATTTTATCAAGCAAATGCTTATAGTATTGTTTGAGAAATATGTCTTGCAAAAAAATTGCAAGTTCCAAAAGTCAAAACAGAGCTGTATAAGAAATCTTTTATATATTCAGGATCTATTTTATGGAATAACTTACCAATATCCTTGAAAAAATCGACCTCAAGTAGAACTCATTCAAAAAAGATTTAAAAAATTACTTGTTTGACCATTAAGAAGCTTTGTAATTTTACATGCATAATAATTTTAATTTTCACAAACTTACTTAAACTTTAAATATTGTTCAGGTAATGATGCCAATACTATATCAATTCATCATTTTAACCTGTTTTGAAATTGGTATATTTCATAACAGTTTCTTATTTGATTTTTCTTATGTGTGTGTTTTTTTTATTATTTGGAATTGCTTGTTTGTTATATTTCAATGCATTTCATGAGGGTCTCAGGGAAGATTAGTTTTATAGCTAACTGTTTAACCCTCTTTAAAAAAAGAATTATTGTTATTATTATTATAAAATTGTAAACATAGGAAATAATCACATTTAACTTAAATTGTAATTTTGAAATGATCACATTTAAATACAATGGGTTGTACTGTATTTGAATTAAATAAAAATACATTTTTTGTAATTAAAAAATTACATCTTAGATTGGAATATTTGTTTCAAGTAAATGAAGAACAAAAATATACTGAAAATAGAAATTAATAATGGTTTTATTTAATTTTAATAAATTTAATCAAAAGAATTTGGAAGAGATATTTTGCATTCATTTTTGTCTTGTCTGCTATATGTCATTAGCAGCTTAATTTTTTTGTATTTAGGTTACACAGGTTAGATATATCTCTGTGTTAACAGTCTATTTCATAAAAAGGGGATACTGGTAAATTCATTTATAACTTGTTTAATTTCCAAAATGATACACCAAATAAGAAATGAATTTTTTTCTTGATTACTGCTTCACTTTTCTAAGAGTAATAAAATGTTGACCTTTTATTCAGAAAATTTCAGTTTAGCAATATAACTCAATTATATATAACTATAAGGAAACACAATCGAAAGTAAAGGTCTGTTTTCATAAGGGGTACAAATATTGATGTTTATTTTCAGTAGTGAAAATAAAAAAAAAAAATATATTAGAAATTTCATGTTGCAAGAAAAACACTCCAGACAATTTATATGGCTCTTTTATCTCAGGAATTTAAACATATTTCATATTAATAAAATGGTCAAATATTAGTCTATATGTAATAAAGCCAAGTTCAAAAGCAGACGTTTTTCACACATAATGAAATGAATTGATCTGTTTGATTAAAGTTTATGAGAAAACATGAAGTCGTCCAGAAGGTAGATACAATGTTACACTTCATATTTACTTTCCTTTATATAAGTATAAATATATGTAACTAGTTACCATAATGACTTATCGGGTATTCAATCTTGACTAATAAATAGGTACTAACGTGATCAAGCATATGAATTTATCTTTGAGCAAATCTACAAGGCTTTTACATGAAAAGTTTTCCATATTTGTGACATGAAAGGTTAAACTAAAATCTTTATCTGTACCCCCACTTAAATATTCAATATTTTGTAACCATATTTTTTAGGAGAAATTGCCGATTTATCCCTTTTACCTGTTTTATTGCACTTTTATTTCTTTTGAAAATGGAGTTTTACTTGCACTATTTACTTTTCTATTAAGTTTATACCTAATATGAAGTTTTAGCATCCCTTTAGTCTATTATTATACTAAGTATGATTCAGAGGACATCTACATAAAATGCCAACAGGATTTATCAAATCTAAATCCAATTTTAATATATTTCAAACAGAGAATTTAAGGACAGTAACCTAACAGAATTAAATGACCTCCATGTACATGTTGTATTTCAATATTTGCCTACATCAGATTGAGTTTAGAACTAAGGAAATTTGATTTATTAAACTATAGTTTATACACAACACAATGTATATTCTATCTAAGAGTTAAGAAGCCTCCGTCAATCTATTTTTAGATGAGTGAAAAGATACCTGCAACAATCCAAACCTACGTCGATGATGACAAGTATAAAGATACAGTCCTTTTTTTTCACCTTTTTATTCAAATGTTAATTACATTTCAATTATTTTACTTAGCATTTTTTAGCAAAGTACGGCCTTCAACACAGAGCCTTGGCTCACACCGAACAGCAAGCTATAAAGGGCCCCAAAAATGACTAGTGTAAAACCATTCAAACGGGAAAACCAACGGTCTAATCTATATAAACAGGCATGAAATGACAGGGTGTCTAATGTCTTCAATTAAAGTCATTATGTTGTGCAGCCAGAATTTAATTGATTTTACAAAAGTATTGCATTTGAATTATCTGTTACTGATACCTTTTTATAATTACCATTTGCTTGATCTCTGCTGAAATTTTGTATATCTGGAAATTCAACATCCACCAAGAAAGGGTTGCTTCAGTATTGATATTATCTTGTTAGAACTACATTCCTAATATGTAAAAAAGAAACAGGTATACATCTGGCCTTTGTTAGTCTTGTATGTTTTTTTAATTTTAGTTCATTTATATGTTTTGGAGTTTAGTGTGACGTCCATTTTCACTGAACTAGTACACAATTTTATTTAGGGGCCAGCTGAGGACCACCTCCGGGTGCGGGATTTTCTGGCTGCGTTGAAGACCCATTGGTGGCCTTCAGCTGTTGTCTGCTCTTTGGTCGGGTTGTTGTCTCTTTGACATATTCCCCATTTCCATTCTCAATTTTATCAGTAATTTAGCAACCCATTGAAACAAAAAACCAAAGACATCCAGAGGTCTTTTTACAGTCTGGTGTCTATACAAAATGTAAAGCTGTTATTAATTATTGGTCAGAGTCAAAAAGTTTGAACAAATGCATCAGAGACTAAATCAAAGATCTGATATGAACACCAAATTCCCCATAAGACCAACAAATGTTTAGATATAAGATATAACACATGATAACCACTGACATGGATTCTGACTTGGGACAAGCATATTTAGACTAACCCAAATAATTTAGTCATTATACAGCTTACCAGTACTATAACCATGCTAATTGAACAGCCATGGGAGAATATACTTTAAAGAATCATTTAAAAGTTATTAAAATGAAGAATTAAATCACTAGTAAAGGTTTTCCAAATGTTTATAGTTTCTGTATAGGGATGATTATTCAGTCAAGTTTGATTAAATAATTGAACAGTATAACCAGATAGCATTTTTTTATGCAAGTACTTCACTGGGAACAAAATTCTGCTCAGTCTGGTGTTATGGGTTGTCTTGAAATGACAGTGAGGTGTGAGCATTTGCTCCATGTTGAGAGCCTTGATATGAGTTTGTGATGAAGAACTGCAATAAAAGCATGGTTTCTTTGCCTTTTTGTTTTGTAAATTTTGTTAATGCATTTTGTGTCATGAATTTATTAATCCACTTTATCTATTCTTTTTCATTACAATGTAAAGAATTTCTTCTTCAGACATGTTTGTTACTTTGAGTATCTTATAGAACATTTTTTTTAGAAAAATATGTAATAAAATAAACAGTACCAATTTTAATGCACCAGATGAGCATTTCGATAATTAATCTCTCTTCAGTGATCCTTTAGGCCAAAGTGTTTGAATATCCAAAATATAATATAAATGTTGAAGAGCGGATCGAAACAAAAAGGACCTCAAGTATAGCCAAATCTGGACAAGGAATCATAGCTTTGCATGAGGGATTTAGATTTTTGTCGAGCCTTCGACTTTTGTCGAAAAAGCGAGACATAGCGATCCTACATTCCGTCGTCGTCGGCGGCGTCCTCAAATATTAAC